TGGTCATGCTAGGAAGATATTAGAATGCCCTAGGCCTGACTCCCCAGTGATGGGTGCTCACCTCCAGCATGAGGGTGGGCTGGGCCGAAGTGCCGCAGGACAGACAGCGAGTCCCTCCATTGATGCCCATAATGATGGGGAAATGGCTGGGGTCCATGAACTGGTTGGGCACCACGCTGATCTTCTCTGGGAACACAGAGCACCGAGGAGGGGAGCGGGATGGGGGGTGAGCTACAGACGAGTGGGGGGTGTCAGGACCTGTGCAGCATCATTCCCCTCCCCTGCAGCGCAGCCCATCTCCTGGCCTGGGCCTGGCCCTCGGCCACTGGGACTGCCTGGGGCAAGGACCCCCGTCCCGCTCTGGCAGCCAGGGGAGAATCCCTTGCACAGGCGGGGTAACTGTGGCTGGTCTGTGATGCCCCCCCAATGCAGGGGCAGGAATGGGGTGGGCTCTTTGTCCCTGAGTCTGGCAAAGTGACCCTAGGGGCTGTTTTGGCCCCACAATGTCCCTGAGCCACTGCCTGCCCACGCCTGGACTGGCCAGGTGTTTGTGCCTGCTGGGGTGTCAGGGCCTGTCTTGCCCTGCCCGTTGGGAAGGCCAGGCAGCGTAGTGCGGGAGGAGCTGGCGCAGCACGGAGGAGCCGGCCTGCAGCCCACCTGGGGGGGCGTTGGCGGTCTGGGGGGAGGCCACGAGGCGGTTGTGGTGGTAGCGGACAACTTTCTGGCTGGTGTCGCGTAGGGTGAAGAGGCTGGGCCCTGGCACGGCCATGATGGTAGGTCCTGAAACAGAGCGTGGCAAAGGGAGAACAGGGCAGGAGAGGAGGGTGCTCGGGGTAAAGAGATCTGCACTCTGCCCCTCCTCCCTACCAGAGCACTGCCAGTGCCTGCTCTGTCTGTGCACCCTGCCCCTCCCAGCACCTCCTCCACACCCCCTGCCGCCCCCCCCCCCCGGAACCCCCCGCCCCCCCTGTCCCCTCTCTGCTCCCCTGGCTGGATCTTACTGGAGTCAGGCACGTTAAGATCTAACGCTAGACTTGGGCTCAGTGGGCTGCTGGGCTGCGGTGGGGCACTGGCCAGGGCAGGGTGGGCAGTGCCCCGGGTGGAGGAGAGTCAGCCCCCGGAAAGTGGGGATGCCGCGGGTTCTTACTCTGTTTAAAGAACTCGTTGAACAGATTCACCAGGTTGCTGTTGCCGGGCTGGGAATAGGGTCCTGGCGTCCTCCCAGCTCCCGGCCGTGCTGGGGACGTGTGCCCGGTGCCTGTCATATCCTGGTGGGAGTGGGGTGGCTGGGAAGGACAGATGGACACCAGCTCTCAGGCAGGCTGGGCCCATGGGGGAGCCCCATTGGCCCTGCTGAGCCAGGATGGGGGAGGGGGGCAGAGCAGGGCCCATCTTTGGCCCACTGCCCCCTTCAGATCTTGGCAGCCAGCAGCACATGGCATGGGGTGTGCAGGGGTGGGAGGGAGCCCCACCTGCCAAGCAACCTGATTGGCTTGGATCTCGGCTCGTTCCTCATCTCACCTCCCTTGGCCCAGCTCCAGGGCAGCTCCCCATGGAATCGCCAAAGGGGCCGCCCGCCCCATGGCTGCGGCAGGAGGAAGGCCGTGGACCGGCCACTGGCAATGCTGCCGGGGGTGGGATGCTTCCCCGCTAGGGCCTGGTCCAGGATGCAGCCATGGGGGCTACGGGAGGTGACCCCTCTCTGCCGCTCTGAGAAGGCTCCGGACTGGCTAGCTGGGGCCAAGTTGTCACCCCAGCTGCACCAACAGGGCTCGACCAACCCAGGCTGCCCTACGCAGGAGGATCCAGGCCTCACAGCGCCCGTTAGCTGCTGGCAGGATGTGCTGGGCAAGGGGGGTTTCTCCAGCCAGGCCGGAGCCAGGGAATAACAGACACCAGGGTCAGTTAGTAACTGACCCCCCTTAACCTAGTGGGCCACTGGCAATCCCACCCCTCGCTGCTCTGCCCCCGACAGGCCCCTGGGGGTAGAGCCAGGGAACAGCCTCTGCAGAGCGGGCCCCAGAGCGGGCCCAGGAGGCCAGGCTGGGTCCCCACCAGGAGGCTGTGCCCCTTTGGGACCCGCTATGGCCCAGCGCTCTGCGTATCTGGCTGCTTCTGCCCCTGGGCTCGGCCGGGACTCTCAGCCATTTATACACGGGGCAGGGTGACATGAGCGCAGATCAGTACCGTGTGTGTGGAGGCCGATCCTGCCGCGGAGACGGGGCCCTCAGGGTCACTGGGGAAAGAACAAGGAGCTGTGAGATTTCTCTCCCTTGAGGGAGCCGAGGATCTCAGACACGGGAGCTGCGTCTGCATCGCTCCCAGTTTACGCCTTGGTAGGAAATTACTGTCTGAGATCGTGAGCACAGACACTCTGCTGCCCTCCCAGCCCTCCTCCAGGCCCACTGCCCCCAGCTCTGCTAGTTTGTCTGCTCTCCCATGACAGTCCTCCATTTTCCCATAATGCACCAGCAGGGCCAATGCCTGGTGGACTTTACCAAGTCCCTACTCAGGTAAAGCTCCTCTTGATCTCGGGGGACATTTGCCTGAGCAAGGATTCCAGCATCTGTTGCATTTGCTGGGATGTCACGAATAGACTTGGAGGAAACCCAGTGCCATTATGAGGGTTCAGATCAGTGGGACTCAGCTGGATCGGAACCACCTCTGGGTTAGAAACTCCCAAACCCAGCCACGAGCTTTGGCAAACCCCAAACTGGCACTGACTACCTCATCTCTGGTTCTCCACCATTGGCTCCTAGGGAGCCTATCCTCCTCCAGTCTGTGGCTCCCTGCGGCTCCCTGCCCGGTGATTGCCTCCTGCTGCCAGGGGCGGTGGAGAGCCGGAAGCCCAGACACAGCAATTAACATCCCCACTGGCCATTGGCATTGACAGCACCTTCCACTAATATCCCTTTGCCCACTGGTCCCAGCTGAGCCCAACCTGCACCATTGCATTTAATACCCACGTTGCACTGGCACAACATTCATGATGCCAATGAACTGAGCCCAGAATTGTGCACATGGGCTGTAGAATTCAGCAGCCAGGCTCTTCTGTATTTCCCCAACTCATCAACTCCACCTCCTCCCGTTTCTCAGTTGATGACGAATCACTTCTTCCTGTGTCTCTACCACCTCCCCTCAGTCTCTCTCTCTCGTATTAACAACTCCTGCTATTCTCAGCTCTAGATACCATGTAATTTTGCTAGAAGCTCTAACATGAAAATACACTATAGAATTAAATGCAGAAACGCTCCATTCATGCAAATGCAGAAACGCTCCATTCAGACAAAGTTTGGTTTACGGGTCTATGAACCCAAAAGAAAGAAAATATCAAATTTCAGGTTGAATGTGCAGCTTTAACTCTGTCCCTGTATGCATTTACCCTTAGCTCCCCCCCTTGGACATTATTATTATTATGGTGCAGGCTTTAATTAAATGATCATATGCTATTTATCAAAGATAACACAAGATACCATATAACTTTCTTCCACAACAAAACAATGCCACCGAGTATCAGTGAGCATTATGGTGTGTTGGCAACCTCAGGGAGTTATAATTCAATTGCAACGGTAACACCCTCAAGATCTGTGTACGATCAGTTGTTTCATTCATACATTAAACTAATATTATTATTGCATTGTGGCAGTGCCTAGGAGCTCAGCCGTGGTGCCACGTGCTGTACAAACATAGAACAAAAAGTCCCTGGCCCAGCGAGCTCACAATCTCACCAATCAATTCATCTCTGAGCAGAGGCCAAGCACAGAAAATTTCAGCCCCAGGGAGGAGCAATTCAGAAAGTTACATGCATCAGAAAACAAGACATTGCAAGGGAACCTGTTTGGCAACCTTTACTAGTGTCTGCTCTCGTAAAACGGCAGTTTGTTGTGTCGTACCATGTATGCGTGCAATATCCATGCTGTGCCCATATGGAAGGGCCTACAGAGTTCCATAGACAGAGCCTTTCCATCGTTGTTTTTTTTTAATCTCCCTGTAGGATTTAGTAGAACACTATCACCCACCTTCAAACAACCCATTAAAAAGATCTTATTCTCTGTTATATTCTATCAGCTTTCAGAATAAAATCTGTGGAACCCCCCTGCATTCCTGGAGGACCCTATGGGGTTCAGCCTGGTACAGTCTATAGGACCTTCCCATAAGGATGGAATACACAGATCACCATTCAGATTTCTCAGGGCCTTCTTTCTGCCCTTAGAATTTAAGTCATCATTTACCCTTGTGCAAGTGGATGCAAAATGCCACCAGCTCAGGATAGTAGCACGTTGCTGCCATGTTGCTCATGTGTAAATGATGGCACAAGGTGCAGGGCAGTGGGGACTGGGGGCTTGTCTACATGGGGAAGTTACGCCAGAATAAGGTAGTAGTTTCAAATGCAGTCAATATTCTAGAATAAGATCTGCATGGAGGGTTATTCTGGAATAGTCATTCCAGTCGATTTCTAGGTGGAGACAAACCCTTAGATATTTGACACAGAAGCTGACCTAGCATCTCTCGCCCATGATCACTTACTTGGAGTCCAGCCCCAGATCAGTGGATGTCTCAGGAACTTGTGACAGGAACAAATCTGAACAGAAAAGAGAGGAAATGCCTGTGAGTTAATTCAGCCAACAGAAGACGTCAATGGGGCTCCGTAGCAAGTGGCTTAACCCTGCTTCAGTGAGCTTTTCTACAGTAAGAGCTGGAACAAGTCTCTTGACGCAGCTGGATGGACCTGACTGACACCCATCAGGCTGTGTATTTCTATAACGCCCAGTGCTCCATTTACCCTCTTCTGCTTCATCTTCCCCTGGCGGAGGAGTTGCCCAAATACCGTTGTTTGTCATGCTCTGGGAAGAAAAGCAATCAAAGGAGCAGCATGTTAGCAGCAAAGCTAGAAGAAGGGAAGAGACCATCTCTGGCGTTGCCCCAGAGACTACAGTGGAGAAGAAGAGTGAGGGGGGAATGTCTCTATCTGCAGATCTTGACAGCCAGCTCACTGACCTCTGGTTTGACCAGTTCGCTGTTGTGCAAGGCTTCAGCTGAACTGTCCCAGCTACTTATTCACATGCAAAATCACTACTTCAGTGCACTCAGGGAAGTAAAAAAAATGGCAATGTGATCACTGAATATACAGTCTTACCTCTGCCCCACACACTCCCAGCCTATTTCTAGGTGCAGGTAAAATGTTGCAATATGACGTCGTTCCTTATTTTCCTTATTTATTTCCTCCTATTTTCTGTAGCATCTGGCAATGTTTTCCTCCAGGCTTGTATCCTTATGTTAATGTCAGAGATTCCAAGGCCAGAAGTTATCATCTAGCCATGCCTCTTCATAGCCCCACACAGCCCTAGCATGCCGTCTAAACCGGGGGCTGTGATATGCTCGTCTCCTTTGTGAACATAAGAACATAAGAACGGCCGTACTGGGTCAGACCAAAGGTCCATCCAGCCCAGTATCCTGTCTACCGACAGTGGCCAATGCCAGGTGCCCCAGAGGGAGTGAACCTAACAGGTAATGATCAAGTGATCTCTCTCCTGCCGTCCATCTCCACCCTCTGACAAACAGAGTCTAGGGACAACATTCCTTACCCATCCTGGCTAATAGCCATTAATGGACTTAACCTCCATGAATTTATCCAGTTCTCTTTTAAACGCTGTTATAGTCCTAGCCTTCACAACCTCCTCAGGTAAGGAGTTCCACAAGTTGACTGTGAGCTGTGTGAAGAAGAACTTCCTTTTATTTGTTTTAAACCTGCTGCCTATTAATTTCATTTGGTGACCCCTAGTTCTTGTATTATGGGAATAAGTAAATAACTTTTCTTTATCTACTTTCTCCACATCACTCATAATTTTATATACCTCTATCATATCCCCCCTTAGTCTCCTCTTTTCCAAGCTGAAAAGTCCTAGCCTCTTTAATCTCTTCTCATATGGGACCCTCTCCAAACCCCTAATCATTTTAGTTGCCCTTCTCTGAACCTTTTCTAATGCCAGTATATCTTTTTTGAGATGAGGAGACCACATCTGTACGCAATATTCAAGATGTGGGCGTACCATTGATTTATATAAGGTCAATAAGATATTCTCTGTCTTATTCTCTATTCCTTTTTGAATGATTCCTAACATCCTGTTTGCTTTATAAAAAATATATGGAAATATACCTATCTCATAGAACTGGAAGAGACCCTGAAAGGTCATAGAGTCCAGCCCCTGCCTTCACTAGCAGGACCAAGTACTGATTTTGCCACAGAACTCTAAGGGTTTAGCAGGCCAATACTCAAACCACTGAGCTATCCCTCCCCCCCAATTTAAATGTATACCCCAAATTAAGAAGCGGGGGGAGGGAGGCACAACAGGGCTCAGGACAGAGGGTGCTTGCTGGCAGCCGCTGCAGTCTCAACTTGCTGATCTACTTAAAAAGGCAGTGTACTTAGAGTAGGGTCAGCATACTTAAAGGGGCAATGCACATCCCTCTCTCTCACACACAGTGTGTGTCTCTGTCTGCCATGCTGTCTCCCCTCCCTCCATTAGTGCTGCCTTGTAGATTGTGAGGCTACATTAACAATGTGTTAACCCTTGAGGGTTCAGCCAAATGCTAGTTCATCATTTCGCAGTAAGACATTCCCTGGGAAATATCCCACCCTCTTCCACCCTCTGACTTCACCACCTCAACCAAGCTTCACAATCATCATTGCTGTGTATAGTATTAAATTGTTTGTTTAAAACTTATGCTGCGTGTATATATATTAGTCTTTTGTCTGGCGAAAAAAATTTCCCTGGAACCTAACCCCTTAATTTATATTAATTCTTATGGGGAAATTGGATTTGCTTAACATCGTTTCACTTAAAGTCGCATTTTTCAGGAACATAACTACAACGTTAAGAGAGGAGTTACTGTACTTGAGCAGCTCGCAATCTTTATCCTCAGCCCCCGGGGAGGCAGGGCAGTGCTGTTATCCCCAATATACAGATGCCGAGACTCAGGCCTACATCCCCAAACATATTTAGGCTCCTACCTTCTGTTGATTTCAGTGGGAGTTAGGAGCCGAAATACCTCTGTGTTAGTACCGCTAGGAACCACTGCACTATCCTTTTGCTCTCAGAGTCAGCGCCAGTTCTCTCTCATCCTGTTGGACTGTGAGCTCTTCTGACTGGGACGGTGTTCTGGCCAGCAATGAACTAAACCTGTCGTCATTAGCAATGGGCTCTGGGAGGTCATCCGGGAAACCCTGATACAAATACCAAGGTTGGAGGCCAATCGCTCCCCCGGTGACACTGGTGCAGCTACTCAGGGGTTAATGAGGGCAGGGTCTGACCCTTCCCTGGAGATTTGGCTTCCACTGGCTCCTAGCAGTTTGTGACTAAATCGAACCACTTCCCTCTGCAGCAACTTCTGTACTAGGATAGTGGTTTTCAAACTTTTTTTCTGTTGACCCAGTTGAAGAAAATTGTTGATGCCCGCGACCCAACGGAGCTGGGGATGAGGGGTTTGAGGTGTGGGAGGGGCTCAGGGCTGGGGCAAAGAGTTGAGGTGCGGGGGGTGAGGGCTGTGGGGTGGGTCCCAAAGCCCTCGTCCGTCCTAGCAAAACTCCACATTGCCAGCGATGGACGTCAGTTAGAGTCGAACTGGTGCTGCACTAATGTAGACGGGTCCAATCCCTGCTTGAATACCAGCAACCCCCCAGCACTTAGCTGCAGTGCCGGTAGCAGCGAGATCCAGGTCTGTGTGACCCTGCATAAAGCAGAAGACAAATGACACCAATCATCTCTCACTCCTTTTCCCAGGTCATTTATATTCAGCGGTAATAATGTCACTTCAGCCATTATTATACTACTCACTGTGCCTCTAGGTTGACTTCCCTATCTCCTGCCCTGGGATCACCGCATAAATCCTTGTTTAGTGGCCTATTATCCAGCCATTTGACTCTGAATATGCTATTCAGACACCTGCATTGAATGCTGCTCAGTTTGCTTTGGATGGAGTTATTTTGCCAAGGCTCTGCTCCCTATGGAGGAGGCTTAGGATATTGCTTCTAAAGACCTTAAAGTCTGGTGTTTTCACTGACCACACAGGCCCTCCAGCGGGGCGCCGGAACGGGGGGGGGCAAAGGAATCTTGACAGGCCACTTTTCATCATGGGCTCAGCTCCCTGCCTCTCCTCTTCACGCCCCACGTCCAGCCACGCCCGAAGCTGGAGCCCGGCCCTGGTAAGAGTGGCCCGGGGAGCCTGGGCAGCTGTGGACACTCCACCTGCCCAGGATGCGGGGGCCCAAGCATGACCCCGGTGGAGGGTGCTCCCCAGCCCGGCTCCGATTTCCGGCTTGACCGGGGGGTGGGGCCTCAGGGATAAGGGGTGGGGCAGGGCCACAGAGGGGGCGGGGCCTCAATTCCCCCCCACACTCACACAAACTTTTAGGAAGGATCCGTCGCCCCTGCCTTCCAGCCTGCCTTGAGTTTTTGAAACACAGTCTTTGCTTTTCTGATGCTGGGCTTTCCCTCAGACGTGCAATCACCCTTATCTCGAATGATGCTCCCCAGATAAGTCCATCTCTTAACAGCTTTCTAGGCTTCCCCTTCCCCGTAGGTAAAGTCATTGCTAGGTATGCTGATTTTCATAACTTCCATCTCTGGTTTATTAAGACCTCTTTGCCAGTGATCATAAGACCTGTTTGACCCTGTTAGCAAAGACTGAATTTGCCAACAAGCCCTGGAGGGTCCAGTTGCACCCATTACGGACCCTGGTCTGAGGCAGTGCCCATGGGGACACCCTTCCGCTGACATGCCACCTGGCCCCCAGACAAGGCCCCCCGTTGGCAATTCAGGTGCTGTGTTATATGAGAACTTGCCCCACCTGCTCTCTGATCTGGTGAAGCGTGTTCTGTGATCAGGCTACTAGACCAGAGCACTCAGTGAGCAGCTAAGGCGGCTCAATGGCCCAGCCCCGGCTGAATGACTCGATCCCTCCAACCAAAGGAATTGGCTAAATTGCAATTCCTTGCAGGTCATTTCCTGCCACAGCCAAGAGCCCTTGCTATCCGGCTGGGGAGTCCAAGCCCGGGCTAAGCTGGGGATTGGAAAGAGAACTGAGACAGGCCTGAAGCAGCTACGAGCTTGAACAGGGTCATAAATGTGCTGGAGGCCAGGGCTGGACTGAGGCCAGAGCTTAGGGTCCCAATTCTGGCGTCATGTGGTTATAGAAGCTCAGCTTTCATATAGTAAACAAAAAGTCCACATGGCTGCCAAGAAAAGCTCAACACCCTGACCTAAGTACAGCGATATCTGCCTGAGTCTGCAGAGAGCCTGAGCCCATTGCTCTGAGCAGGGGAGCTGTCCCAAGTGTACTCAACACAGCCACAGCTGCCTGAGTCTGCAGAGAGCCTAGGGGCTTGTCTGCACAGGGGAATCCCAACATAGCTGTACCAGAATAATTTTTGGCTCTAGCTCGGCTGGAATAATTCCCATGTGGATGCTCTATTCCGGTATCATTACTCCACTTTGGAAGACAATCGCTCTGAGAGGGGGGAGCTGTCCTAGGTGTAACGGACACAGTGACGTCTGCCTATGGCAGGTGCTCGGAGGAGTGAGATCTACTCCCTGCATCTCAATGGGGTGTTAACACCAAGCCCCACTGCTCTGCCGGTGCCCCACCAGACCCCTTCCAGCAAGGAGCTGCGCGTGCAGCAGCCCTAGCCTCACTCCCAACCCCACCTAAGCAGATCAGACCAGTCCTTGTCCCAACAACTAGGGTGTGAGAGTTTCCCCTTGCTGTCACCCCTGTCTCTCCAGAAGGGGGGGACCCCTGCCGCCACTCCTGGTGGGATAGCAGAGCCTCAGATCTGAGGTCCCAAGTCATGGTGCCGAGGGATCCCTATCGCTTTCTTCTGGCCCCACGGGAGGCTACCAGCCCAAACTACCA